CTATTGCGCTGGGCATCTACTACCTTTGCTTGCCGCTTCTGCTCATCCTCGGTATTCTGGTGCTGTCCTTTGCTGCGGTATATCTCCTGGTACCCATCGCGAGGCAATGCGGCGTCCACTTCAATGAGGTGGGGTCTGTAAGTGGTCTCTAAGTGCTCTGTAGGTTGAATGTGTCAGCATGTCCGTACTGTGTCAGATGACGTGCCACATGTGTTGTAAGCACATGGAGGAAAAATGAACTCAAAAGACATGAACGTCGTGAAGCGACGTAATGAGGTCGCCAAGAGGCACGAACAACGGCGCGCTGTGCTGCATCGCCTGCGTGCTGCACTGGAGGAACTGATGGAGCTGAAGGGCATCAAAGGTATCTCTTGGCAGGATATCGAGCAATCAGGCGCGTTAGACATGGCGACCGTTGCCCAACTGGAGGCAGCCATTGCGCAACCCGACACCTTCCTGCGAAACGCTGCAGCCGGCAGCAGGAAGCTTCTATTCAAAGCCGTAGCAACCAGTCGCCATGATAGTAGCAATAGCAGCATTAGTATTCGTAGCAGCAGTGATGCGGATGGATGCCAATCGGCATCGAGCTCTGGCGGTCGAAGCGGCAGATGTGAAGAACTCCATCAAGGAAGCCGCTTGTGCTGCAAGCGGACAGCCGTTCTTCTTGCCAATAGAAACGACACGCAGTAGTAACTTAGTACGTTCCAGCCTGCCAAGCTGCCAGGCACGGCGGTCCACGAGATTGTTGCCCAACGTGCTACCAACCTTGAGGGGGAGACGCATGTTGCTCTGAGGCCTTAGTCCTAAGTCCGAAGGTCCTAAGCTTTGTGCTGCAGCGCTCTGACTTTGTTCAGACTGATGCGCGCGTTGTCTCGCAGGCAGGAATCCGAACTCACCGCGGAGCAGATCTTGGATGTGGATGCTGCAATGGACTCGCTGGACTTTGGTCTCTTTGAGTCGAAACCAGGCTTATTTTCCTTAGTGCACCAGAGCATGCCCATCATATGGATTGGCTTGATCTCTCTGTGGCCCGTGTTAATGGCTGCTTTCCTTCGAATGATATGGTGCGTGCCCATCCCACAAGAGGGCGATGACGGTGTTGGCTTCACGTACCGTTTGCTCCCCAGCCCTGACATCGAGTGCTGGGAAGCCACACACATCCCCGCTGCAGCCGTGGCCCTTGCAGGCTTGCTTGTCTGGTGCGTTGGGGTGCCAGCTTTACTGGCGTGCCGCCTGTTCTTAATGCCGGACAGGCATGGTCCAGAAAACTACAGAAGGTATGGTTTCTTCCTCCAAGGCTATGAGCAGGCTTACTGGTGGTGGGATGTGATAGCCAAGCGAGTTGATGTGGGCTCAATGATGCTCATCGCCTACACGTCGCTGGTGCCAACTCCGGAGGCGAAGCTCATGCTTTACCCAGCAATTTCAGGGATTCAGCTCTTCCTGTCGGCCTGGCTTCGGCCCTTCACGAATCAACAGGCAGGTCTCCTGGATGTTCTCGAGATGCTGCTGCAGATGACCCGCTTCCTTCTCTTTACCACAGTAGCAGCCGTGCTTATTCTTGCACCGCACACGACAACAGTGCAGTTGCTGGCGATCTTGTTGCTCATCGCTGTGCTGGCTGCAGCTTCGTACCTGCTGATCCAAGTAGTTGCTCAGTTCTTGAAGGATGCATCTGGAGTTTCTTCTGCGGAGAACACGACGTCCCCCATCATGAAACTCATTCGCTCCTCAGTTGACTCAATTGTTGTGTTCAAGCCAATTAGGCTCCACCTCTGCTCCATGCACAAGTTGCCGCACTCAGGTGGCGCCAAGCACCTGGTGCTGGGCTTCACAGTGCCGATCTTCAAGCAGCACGAAGACGAGCATCTCCAATTATGTTGGCGCTTTGACGAGGACACGATCATGGTTCTGAGCGCTTCAGAGAACGCTCCCGGCAAACGAGACAGAGCGTGCATCTTGGCGGAGGGACGACGGGCTGGAGCAGAAGAGGCAATGAAGAGGAGAGAGTGGGAGAGATGGAGAGAGGTGCCTTTGTTCGCTCACAGTCATGGCAACAAAAAACTGAGGCCTTTCCCTCCGGCAACTTCGCGCGCAACTCTTGCGTTTCAGTGCTTCCCACCAGCGCTCCACATTGGCCAAGTTAAACGAAGAGTTTACGACATTTTGGCTGGTTCAGTTGCAACAGCGCAAGCTGCCATGCGAGACTGCCATCATCCTCTGCCTCCTTGCCGAAGCTAACAAGTACCTCCCGCGCACAACACCCAAGACGCGAGTTGCAGCGGTGTGGATGCAACAGCTGCAGGAAGGGGCTCATGATTCCGGACCCAAGACGTGCACTCCCGAGGATGTGGAAGCGGCCGTTGCCCGCTTGACACAGCTGGCTCCCGAACAGGCTGTCGCGCTGGTCGAGCACGCCGTGGCGGCAGTTTCCACTAGGCACGACAAGGTGACAAGTAAAACACCCAGCCGGCGAGACAACCACGATATCCAGGAGGACCTGCAGGGGTTTGGCGCTGCGTTTATAGTCCAACTGTTTATGCTGCTGGTTGTGGAAGGAGCTTGGGATTGTGGGCAATGCCAACCGTGCCACTGGTGATGCCTTCGACGATGCCAGAGGCTGAGGTCTCACAAGGTGTAGTGTAGTGAGCCTTCGCGTCTGGTTAGGTCTGCGCACTGTCCCAAGGCCAAACAGCCGCATGCGGATCCAGGTGCCCTGGCAAACATGAACTCTGCCTTCGTTGCAACTTCACTTGCGGACGAAGGAACAAAAGCTGATGCCGTTCCCCTCGTTGACGACACGGTGGAGAAGGACCTTACCAAACCTGTGTTGTTTATGTTCTCACGGTTTGTCATTGTTGCCATTGCAAGTGCTAGTATTCGCCTTCTGGTGGTGAAGACGACCATTCTTACTATTGCTGGTTAGAGTAGAAGCACTGTCACTTCTGCGAGTATGGAAACCTTCTCATGGCTTCTATTCCAAGTCCTGGTGCCTGAGGACCTCGTTGCCGTCGTCATGTGAACACAGCAGAAAGGATGCCACTACCACAGCACACCTACGACGCCGTATAGGCACTTACCAGCTCTGGCACGTACGTTAAAGCCCCGGCACTTTGATCAGGACCTGTAAATGACTGTAGGGTGGGCCCTGGCCAACTTTCAGACTCTGCAGTCTGTTTCATGCCCGACTTGGGCATGGCACTTGTCTTTTGGTCGCTGCATTTCGAACAGGATGCCGACCGGCATCCGCGTACTTCAACGTATGGTACTTTTCGCGGATTACTTTGGCAAGCGGGTGATCTTTGCGATGAGTTGTTTCACACTTTCGTCAGCCACCACTTTTGAGGTACCTAGGCCTCTTTTTGCAGTGTTACTTGTTGCATGGATCGGCACAACGGCCTTGCGAAGCACTTGCGTACTCCGCGTCTCCTGCTGAGGGAGGGTACATCTTTCAAGTGACTTTTGCGATGAGTTGTTTCACACTTTCGTCAGCCACCAAAGTTCTTGGGTAGTGCCAAGGCCTGGCAAATGAGTGATTTATTTTATGAGCTGCTTCACACTCCGCGGCTGTTGCATGCGAATCGCATGCTGTTGCTGAGGGAGAGTGGCCAGCAAGCTTCTTTGCAGCGCGTGTGTATAGTATCATAGTTGCACTGAGACACGCCTATCTACCGTAGGCGCCTTGGGTCAAACGAAAAATCGAGCTACTTGTGTCGCCCTCACGAACCTAAGCCGCCTAAGCCCTGTGTTCCAAAGCTTCCAGACCAGTTTGCATTTGCCGACACCGCAGAAACTCATACGAGGCACGCCGTCTTTGAGACGTGCGTTAAATCTCCAAAGCCCTTTCTTTTCAGATGTTGAACTTAGCGTTTGAGTGCCGCATGCATCCGAGACGTGTGACAAGCACTACTAGTCGTTGGTCTTGTTGGTTGCTCTCCCGTGTCGTTGAAACCACAGCCGGGGTCAACATCGCACTGTTTGCCTTGAACGGGGCTTGGTCGGCTGGCGGCGCGCATGCTCTAAACCTGAAACAGCTTGTCCCGCCTTTGTGCTGTCCGCCAGCTCAAACGGCGTCAGTATCGCACGCCGCGGGATCACATTTGAAAATTTGTAGGCTGACAAAGCACCCCAACATTGCCAACAACTTGCAGACCTTGAAAGCGCAGACTGTTGCACAGCGAAGTGTAGTCTAGCGTACAGTGTTGCAGAGCAGCACAGTATTAGCATAGCGTTCACATCTACCACAAAGCCGTTGCCATGTCGGAGATCAGCCTATTCCGATATGCCGTGTCCGGCATCTTCAACGATCCTGCTCAGTACGCCCACTCTCGGGAACGTGATTTTCGGCAGCAGGCGCTGAACCGCTGGGGGAGTTTGCAAATTTCTTTGCGCGTGTTGCTTGTGTGTTCGGTCGTTGCTGAGGAGTGAGCGGGTGATTAGCTAGTTGCTCCCGGTTCCCAGCCAATGACCAAGCAGGTGAGAGTCTTTCAAGAAGTGGATCTTCCTCGGATGGTGGATGAATGTGGATGACGTCCACCACAAGGCCCTGCATCGAAGTGCTGCGTGATGTACGCAAGCATTCTGGCCCTCGATTCAGATTCCTGAATCTGTTTCACCTGCATCCAGCGATTGCCCAGGCGGCGTTGCAACGCGAGCAGGCGAGTGAGATGTTCGAGGCCTGGGCACATCAAACAGGAAGAAGTTGAGAACTGGCTAAGAAGCGTTGTTGGGTTGATGTTGTTGCTGTCCAGAGATTCTGACGATCCCGCGTTTACAAGGAGTGAAGCGTACGCGTGAAACGTGTGATAATAATGAACGAAGTAGTGCACGCAATAATAATAGTGTACGAACGAAACAACGGGCCAATATAATATTTGGACGGCTTGTGCATTCTCTTTTTACTGCGGGCTTCACGTAATCCTTTATTAGCCCGCTATAATACTACGAAGAGAGCACTATTTCGCAGGCTTTATAAGGAACGCATGAAAGCCAAGGAAATAAGCGAACGAAGTCACGAAACAATAGAGCGTTTTAATTACAAACGAAGTGAATGCAAAGAACGTAGTGCGTGAATTAAATTAGCGATTGAACGAAGTAAACAAGAGATTTCTACTGGAAAAATTCTCAATCATAAGCTGGAGAGCGACGCAAGTTTCTCGGGTCGAATCGGCGCGTTTTTCGGTGCTTTCTTCTGGCTGCTACCGATTTTCCTTCGCGTTGTAGAAACTGGAGAGGGGTGGCGCGCAAGCAGTGCAATAGTCTGCAAACAGTTGGGTTTGGCAGTTCTACAGCTGCCGTCGTGTGGTCATGGATTGCAGGCGATTTGCGACACCGTCAGCTGGCTCTTCTGTTGTGCCAAAGTCGAGACTGGACCAGAGCTGGTGGTATGAGGCAGGCCAGACACAGACTCACTTCTGCACAGCATCTCTCCTCGACCTCCCCCTGGTGAAAGGATTTGTTTCTCAACGTAGCTTAGTGTATTCGTCTCGGTTAGCCTGCAGGACAGCTTCTATGCGACCGCTCGCACGGATCAGATGGCATGCTGGCACGTCGACCACGCACAGACACGGGCATGGCAGCACTTCCTTGACCCCTCTCAGCAGGCGCAGAAGCCATCCGGCTCATGGCATTGGGGAGCTACGCTTCGACCTTAGAGCGCTTGACGGCATCGTTGGAGGCTGCTGGTGATTCTGGAGCACATGTTCCGCACCACAGAACTGTTTTTGGCGCATGCGCGTTCTGAAACTCTTGCATTGCTGCCGGTCTTCAGTGGTTTGCTTGTATTCTTGGATGTTTCGTCTACAATCTAAAAGTTCTGAGCAGAGAGATTACATGAACAGGTTCCAGTTATCTATTTGCGATATCTTGTGTGGAATTGCAGTAGCTGCTCTCATGCACTGTTTGAACCAATCGCTTTGCAAGAGGGGCGCACGAGATGGGGCAAGGTGATGCCAGCAAATGCTAGCCAGTTCTTCTTGTCCTTCTTGAGCTGGAGGCCTGGGTCTGGGTCAAGATGAGCACAATAGACTGGCTACCTTCTAGTCGCACCAAATGTCCCATTCCAGATGCTCGGGTTTGTACGGAAAAAGCAACATGCTGATGGTTTGGTCTAAGATTTAGTGCCATGCACCTGGATGCATCTGCAGGCCTTGGGATTTGTGAGAAAAGTTGAACTTGCTGGCCACGTTCTTTGAGTCCCAGCACGACCGGCTGCGCAACATCGTGTATTGGTTGGAGGAGAGGCTCCCCTTCTTGCCGGGCCTGTTGCAGCATCAGGACGTGTCCTGCGAGGGCTGTGGTGCAAGCCCTTTGCTTGGCCCTCGCTTCAAATGCAGCTCCTGCCCTGACTGTGACTATGACCTGTGCGGGGCATGCTATGCAAGAAGGTTGGAGCTGCACGGAGGCGAGTGGAGGCGAGTGTATCGCACATGTGTGACTGCAGGCTGTCAGAGGCGACACATTCAAGTCCAAGCAGTGTGGTCCCTTGGAGTTCGTGTTGGGCATGCTCGGGCATAGCGGCCAGCGCCAGAAATGGGCAAAAGGAAAGGCAAAGGGCAAGCGAGGGGCTTCAGAGGCTGACCTGACCGACGGCACAAGTGCCAACCGTGTGCGAGCTCAGGCTGTGGCTACCAAGCCACTTGGCGTCAGATGATTTCAAGCCCAAGGCTGTGAACACCAAGTGCTGTGCCACCCCTGGATGCGAACACCAGGCGACGAAGGGAGAACGCATGGCAAGCACTGCGAGCACATCATCTTCAAGAGCGAGATGGGGGCGCCAGACGGCAGTGAGGATTCTGAGAGCAAGGCGGTGGGAGGGCAAACTCAGCGCCACGCCCGGCTGCCAGTACCAGCCCAGACTTGGCACGCAAGGTACTGTTGCCACGGTTGGGCCACATGGTTCCCGTTGTGACAAGAAGTTTGCGTCGGAGAATGGCGGCTCTGATGAGACCAAGGCCAGTGGACACTAAGTGGTGTGCCACCCCTGGATGCCAATACCAAGCGACGAAGGGAGAACACTGCTGTGGGGCATGTGCAAAAGGGAAGCGCTGTGGACATGGCAAGCACTGCGAGCTTCAACATGTAAAACGATAACTGCGATTCTTATTGTGTTTATAATGTGTATATATACATATAGATAGATGGATGGCTAGAAATATATGAGGGTTGATCTAAAGGTCCTTGTGATCGGCTTTAAGCACTGTTAAAGCATGACAGCATGTCCGCGAAAGTCTCGCGACGGGTCCGCGAAATACATTCACGCCGCAGTGTCTGACACAAACCCCTCCTCCCAATTTGGCAATATATGTCTGTGCTACCGATACCCTACCGATACCCTTCCGATACCCTTCCGATACCCTACCGATACGCCGACTGATGCCCCCGAGTAGTCTCTGAGGCTGTCTTGGACACTATACTGTAACCCTGCCGAGCATGCAACTTGACATCGCTGTGCGATGAACCTTTCAACCAGCAAGGCTTGTGTATCCATTTACAGCTCAAGTGGTCTGTAGATGCCGCAGATTTTGCAGGCCCTGCTGGCTACAGCGAAAGCCGAGCAGCCAATGCCATGCATGTACAGGCACAAACCCTTCTAGCACATTTCATCCAAATCACTTCTGCAGCAGTTCAAGCGATGGTGGCATCAAATCGCATGTTGATACGGAAGCGCTACGAAGTGCTGCCGTCCTGAAATCGTGAGCTGCGTCGTGTAGTGCCATGGCCTGGACAGTCCAGCACTAAGACTTGTACTCGCAAAGTCACTTGCAGCCCCGAGGGCCCAGAGCCCTGCTGATTCGACAAGTCTGGGGTTCCTCCCGACACCGGCAGGTGAATGGCCTGCAAGAACTGGTTCGGGCGTGGCGCGGGTCCCAGAGAGTCCAAGTGAGCTGAATGCTTGGGACTGCGCGGGAGACCTTTGTTTCAAGCTCAATGCCTCGGCAGTCGTGCTCGCACGGACAAGTTGGCTGCAGAGGGCGATGCCCAGGCGGGATCCAGGGGGGGCAACAACCCCAGCGCCCGAAC